ATGAGGAGAGGCTGAGGGAGCTGGGGTTATTCAGCCTGGAGAAGAGGAGGCTGAGGGGAGACCTTATTGCTCTCTACAACTACCTGAAAGGAGGGTGTAGAGAGATGGGGATCGGTATCTTTTCTCAAGTCACAGGCGACAGGACAAGAGGAAGTGGCCTCAAGTTACGCCAGGGGAGGTTCAGGCTGGATATTAGGAAAAGTTTTTTCACTGAAAGGGTTATCAGCCATTGGAATGGGCTGCCCAGGGAGGTGGTTGAGGCACCATCCCTGGAGGTGTTCAAAAGACGGGTTGATGTAGTGCTGGGAGGTATGGTTTAGTGATGATGCTCCTTGTTTGTTGTGTGGGTGTCTATTTTTGTCAGTTAGGTTGACAGTTGGACAAGATGATCTTTAAGGTCCCTTCCAACCTAGAAGATTCTGTGATTCTGTGATCATCGAGTCCAACCATAAGCAGCTTGTCCTGCTGCACAACGCTGCTCTCTCGGATTTGGTGCCTGAGGAGGGAGGGAGGAAGCTCCATGCCTTCACGGGTCCGTCCTTCCATACGCGTGATTTAAGAGTCAGGAATGGTTGTGTATGAATTATCTGAGCAAGTTCAAATTTTACAACTGTAACTGAATGTTCAAATTTTACAACTGAACTGTATGTTCCTCTTAATATAATAATGTACTCATATACTGAGCAAAAAACCTTACTCTAGTTCATTGCGAACCTTATTCCAGGACACTAATTCGTAATATCTAAAATTAAATTAATTAATTTTATGGTCTTCTAAAATGATAAAAATTATCTACCTTTCTGCTACAATTCCCAATATTCACAAGTCAGGTTTGATGTTCTCTGTAGCAGGCAAAGACTGTAACAGACACGTAAGTGCATTTCTGGTTTTGGCCCCAATCTTTGTTGCACAGACTAGTAGCTTAAAAAAAAAATAATTACAAGGAAGCAACCAAAAAGAGGAGCCTGACTCATCTAGAGTTTCACCACAAGTATACTCAATGTAGGCAAATATAAATACTGAAGTGAATGTGTACACTAACATGGATATGTTCCCTTGTTTTGGTGAGCACAACACATTGTAAAAATTATTTTAAAAACTTACCTTGCTGTAAGGCTGACATTTTGTGCCAGTGAAAGATAATAAACTTTGGGGCATTCCATCTTAAAAAGAGAATTAAAAAAATAAAGTGACTGGATCTACTATTTGTACAGCCTGCCCATCCACAAAGAAGAGGTGGAAGGGGAAATCCTGTCTCGAGCTCAGCTGCTGGAAAAGCAGAACAGACCATCAGAACAAAGTGAATCTTAGTAAAAATAAACTATGGGTGTAAATTAACAGTAGTCAACATTAAAACTTGTGCTAGGCTGGGAGGAGAGCTGGGATCACACACTTGGGGACATGTATCTTCCCCTTCCCTACCAGGTGCACTGCGTGACTTGTACTGTTACCTAACTTAGCCTCGCAAAAAACAGTTGGTTTCATTTGCTTTCTGCTGGAAACCCATTGTGGATCATACCTACGTTCATCTTGGATCCTGGGCAGAAAGGGAGAGAGAGGGAAGAGAAAGAAAAGGTAATGCTCCTGCCTAAGGAGTAACTGCATCCGAGAGCTGACTGCCAGTGCAGCAAGCAGGAGCAGAACTGTTGAAATCAAGATCAAAAAAGCTATAATGAAAAATAGTCAACAGCTATCATCAGAAACCTTTAAATCCCAACAGAATTATCTTTTCCAAAACAGTTGCTGTAGCTTAATTGCAAGGTTTGGGCTTGACATTTGCTCAGCATCCTCTCGTGGCCAAGGTCAACCAGGCCAGAGCGAGGAACTACAGCAATTCAGTCTGGCCCTAAAAGCATAGTGTGCAGCGTGTTGCTCAGCACTGATCATCTGTGTTTTAGCAAAGAGGCAAACCCACAAGAGAGGAAAGCTGAGACATAATAGCGGGATTTGTGATGCTTTTGAAGGAGAAATTTAGTGGTCTGTGGCGACAACATTTGTATTTTTGTCATGTCTCCAGCAAAGATGGTAATGATCCTGCCTACTGAGAACTCACAGATAATGTCTGAATCCACAGACACAAGTATCAGTCATTTCTATTTTCAGATTTAATTCTGTAGCAAATTTCAAGGCCTCTCTCCTCTGCAGTGGAATTCAATACTGGCTTTTCCCTCTCTATTCACAGACGTCTCAAGCTGATATGGAAGTGCAGCACAATCATAAGGTTAAAAGCACTTAAACACTGTCTGGTAAGTCAGTACAGGGAATGCTAATAGACATGGGAAATTTGTATCTTCAGGTACTTTTACAAGTTAGTTCGGAATAAAAAAATGGAAGTCCTATCTTTAGACAAGTTATGGTAGAAGTTACAGCATCGTTAATCAATACAAAGAAAAGCTGCTTTCTCATATGTGAAATATTAAGGGAACTTTTAACAGTAGCGAGGAAATTACATTGAGAGTCTCAAAATAAACCCACAAGCTAAGAAATAAAATAAAAAATGCAAAGAGTGAATAAACTGTATATACAGGCTGATTTGGCACATACGTATGGGAAATCTTAAGGATAGTGTAATTCACAATATGAAAAACTAACTGGAATTGTTCATTATGGTCAGGAATATGTAAAAACATGTTCTTTTAAAGATAGCAATATGCATCTGCCAAAGATCATGGGCCTAACAGACATTTTTATTCAAAAATAGTAGAAAAGAGGGGGTCATTGTTCCTGAGGGGCTGCTTTTTTACGAAATGAGTCTATCTGCCACAATACAGAGGAGTTATGAACACAGGCTTTTAAAGTAGCATAATTTGTAAAGAGATGGGAAGCAGTTAAATGTACAGACCTATGAAAGACATAGTATTGCTGGATTTTTCTGCTACTTGTTTTGTTCCGGTTAAATCTCTTATATGGAATTGCTATTCCCTAATCCTACAAATACTACAATTAAACTGAATATAAACATCACAGCTAAATTTCTGCAACTGAGTTTCAACATGCTGAATTTTTTTCTTCCTGCTCACCCCCTCTCCCTTCACACACATGCAAGAATATGAAATACAAACCAAGGCACAATCTGTGCCTTGCTACAACTCAGCTACATCCAGCTGATGTTTCAAACTTTTTATTTCAGTGGCTGATAGCAATCCCATGCCTCTCCCTGCCTAGCTCCTGGTGGCTAAAAGCACCCACTCCCTATGAGTACACTTAAGCCATCAAAAGGGGCTCATAAGGCTTATACCTTTCCAGCAGCCAGACAGCTGGTTAAAGGAAGATGGCCAATGCAAGCAAGGGAAACTCCTTGTTGGCATCCACTAGTGAGCAGACCACCTAACAGCAAATTCCCAGAATAAGCTACTCTCTGCCAAGGCAACAAATGAGCTAAGGATAGCATGAGCACATCTTTTTTTTTCAATCCAGGCAAGGCATGTAAGGAAAACTTGTATCACGAGTAAGATAAACTTGCCAGAGAGGAAGGTGGACTTAAACATGTCCACATGTGAGTACTGCTATGAATTAAGTGCTCGAGGGGCTGCCTCTAAGCACCAGCTAATTCAGCTACAGTCGTTTAACTTCTGGCCTTGCCCAGCAAAACATACTGATAACAAAGCCACTGCAGCCTATCTGGGAAGTATGAAAGCATGGATTCAAAAACATGCTTGGTGCTCCGGTGGAGGACTCCTCTCATAACATACCAGGTGTTGACTTTTCAGACTTGGGTTTAGCAGAAAGCTGGACTTCAGTGTGAGAATTTCTCACCTTCCTACACCCTTCTTATATCAGAAGAAAAACTGCGTTTTAATTACCAGGATTTTATTCACTCACACAGAACATCGGAATTTTATTCTGTCATTGGATAATACAGCAAAGAAATGAACTAAATGTGGTTTAGTAGTGCTTGAGTTAGTAATTGCAAGTCACTTTTGCTAGATGTTTCATCCTAAGCTTGTATTATGCTTCAGATTTTTTTTTTTATTATATCCCCACAAACCCAAAACCAAGCCCAAGCATATACCACCATGGCATGAATTCTACCTTACCAAAACTAATATTAACTCGCATCTTCAGTATGACTTTCTAGTAACACTTTTGCACTTGCAATGCTGCGAATATGGAAACCTGATCACAAATCCCAGAAGTAACAGGTTACCATGTTACTGTTGGTCAGGTAAATTGCAATACCTTGGTAACATATCTGTTCCTACCACACCTTAACAAAGTAAAATGCATTCTGCTTTGTATATGCAGTGTACTAAGATCTTGGTTGAATGAAAGCCACAGAAGTGGCTTTCTTTCTGAAGAAAATCCACAGAAACCACAAGACCCACGCTGGAAATCTTGCAAACTGCAAATAACCGTAAGGTAGCAGTCTTATACTGGAAAGAAGCATCGTTAACAGACAAGTCAAATGTACTGTTTGTATTGAAAACAACTCCTCAAAGTACAAAAATGCTGAAAAGCTCTCTATATTCAGTATAATATCTGGGATTAGGGTGTGCGCTGACATGGACATTGGAAGGAAGAGAACAAGGAACTTGAAGCCTGATTTCAGGACTCGTCGGCTGGTTCTGCATAAATACACAGCCCTCAAGGCTCCAAAGAACTTTTCCAGAAAACAGTGATTACAGAGGAGAAGACGCATGTTAAATGGATAATGCAGAAGCCACCATATGAGAAATCTTCCATTGCTCAGATGCACCAAATCACACTGTTGCCTTCCACTGGCATGCCACAAAATCATAGTTTATATCAAAGTTAGATCATAATTCAAGCACTGTGAAAGGGCAAGGAAAAATAAAGACCAATGATTTATAACAACTATGCTAAATAAATAAAAAAAAAAAAAAAGCCAGTACAGATGTATCTTTTAAAGTTACAGACAACATCCATTAGGTTTGTTCATTAAAGTCTCCTGAAACATGCAAACCCTCCTTGTAATATTTAAATCATGCAACATTTCTTAAGAAGCCAAACACAGGAAAACACAAATGTGCCAATTCAGTACTAATTTTATTCTTTCTGCCTTTACTGCACATTTCCTTTCTGCTTGAATTGACTTACTACTATTTAACAGGATATTGATTTTGTTTAAGAAAGAAGAATTTTCATGCACTTTGTTAGTGGAAAAAAAATATGACTGCACTGTGAAAGGATGGTTACAAATTCATCTTCCACAACTGTAATACACATATAAATAGCATACTGATATCACTGACCTAACAAATCTGCAAGAATCATATATTGCAACTCTTTGCCAGTATTTCTTTAAAGTTGTAAAGATTTTATATAGTTGTAATATGGAGACAATTTAAGGACAACCAAAGAATCTCACATCCAACAAGTCGATTAGAAATTAAATAATAAAAAAAAAAATCATTCTTTGGAGACAAATTTTAGATTATTTATCATTCTATGTAGAGCACTCCACACATGTTCCCACTAAACAAATACCGCAGAGCTTCTGACCAACAAACAAATAATTTAGTTTAATCCCATGCATTTCAGGTATGACAGCTGGGGAAAAGAAATGCGGGTTGCTTGATTTTGCTTTTTTATATATGTATGGCTACCAACAACTGACAAGTTGCAAAATATCTCTTTCTGATTTTTCTTTCAGAAGTATTTTTAATCTGAAAGAGAAAAAAATATCCTTTCTTCACAGACATATTATATGTATTTACTGTTTCTTCATCTGCTGGAATCAAATATTACAAACATCAACAAACTGACTGAGAGGGCATGTAACTTCTGTAATTTGGTCTGATATGACTCACTGGGAACAAAATTGTAAGAAATCTGTCAACAGCATTACAGAAAATATCCTTCCACTTCTCACAGTTAAGGGACACTAGTACCTTACTTTTCTTTTCCACTGCTCAAAAACAAATGCTACATTCAAAAAGCTGTGTTAATTTAAGACATATGGCTCTGATTTTATATGCAAGAATAGTATTCCAAGTAACATCTTCGAAATAGCACAACTGTTGACCTTAAAGCTAGGTAATATATGAGAACAAATTACTGAAACGTCTTTAGATCCTCTGGCATTACTATTCTCCATGGGTATTTTTCTAGTTAAGCTATAACAGGTTCACAAAACTTCTTGGGACAAATATGCTCCTAACAGCAATGCAGTAAACCAGTAAGCCACTGCTCTTTGTGTGTGGCAAATAACATACACGAAGCAGGTAAAATACCTTTCAACACAAAAAGGAAAGAGGTGAGTTGCAACCATATGCTCTCTTTAGGAATTTTGGCTCTCCAACTGGAAAATTTCCTTATGCCTAAGCTGTGCTTGTCCTGTTTACTCTGAGTGAAAAAAAGATTTCTTAAAGAATGAACAATAGCATCAGTCATGGCACACTGATAATAGGCTGTACTGCAAGCAACCTTCCACCTGCCATATAACTGTTGACAGAGACCAGCTATCAGTATACCACTTTGCAGAGAACGCTGTCCTGTGAAAGCTGCAGTACAGAAAAAAATAATCTAGCAAATCTGAGAGCAGTTTTATTTTGGAAACATTTTCAACAAGAACTAAGGAGTTCAGGAAACGTTGTTTTCCTGAGAACATAGAGTGCGTTCACCATGAATCACTGACTCTTAGATCATCGTCAGTTTCATAAAAGCAGAATTATAGAACAAAACATTTTACAAACAACTTACCAACCAAGCAACTGGGAACAATTTGCTTATAAAACCATGTGTAGTTTGGGAGAAAAACTGATCTTCAGCCATATAAACAACAGGATGAGTGAACTGCTTTAAATGACATAGGTCTCTTGTTAAAGAAGGTGCTCAGAACAAAATTTGCAACTATCTTCAATATTTCATGTTATGTTCTAAAAGGTTAACATTTCCAAACAAAGGATTATTTTCAAAAATGTATGAGGGAATAGAAAGTTGCAGGAGATTTCTTCAGTAGATATTTTTCTACCCTTGGTAACCCGCGGGGTAGGATGTTAATTGAAGTCTGACACCTGGATAAAGATCTGATGTGCTGGCTTAATAAATAGATGACATTAAAAGTCTAAACTTTCAATGTTAGTTTTTGAAGAAGTTCATTCAGCAGCTTCACAGTCCTTTGGTTTTCTTCTCCATTATGGTTAATTCTGTATGCAGTACGGATAAGAAGACTACAAACTTCTTTGCTTGTATCAGTTGCCTCAGTAATCTGAAGCGAAACAGAGGAAAAGGGAAATAATGCAATTATGTTGATAAGTACTGAGAAGTCTCCATTAATATTTGCAACAAAACCACAAATTTGTCCTTCACCACTGAACACCTGAGATGCTCTAAGTTCAAAAGCAACTTTGCCCAAGGCATCTCATTTTATACATCTTGGTGGAACTGAGCAACTTTGAGGTTTCTACTGTTCTTTCAAATTTAAGTGAAACAAATCAAGATGTCAAGAAGTTTTAAAAGGAAACACAAAAGATCAGACAGTGTAACCATTCAGAAGTTATCTCCTTAGAAAACAACTAAAAGCACATGAAGGTTTTGAGTGGATTTGGGGACAAAATTCAATTCTGTAGAGCTATCAAAATTTGAACATAAATCCCTCCCCTAAAAGATGACAAAGTACCAGGAAAAGACCCCAAGTTACAATTTTTGCAGATCAGCAGGGACTTGACTCCATGTTATCTCTGCTGTGTTAATCCCAAAGTTTACTATGCTAACCAAACCCACTGCCATGCATCCCACATTGGTTTCGCACCATTCTGCCTTTCATACCTTCAGGCCTTTTCAGATCACATGGAAAGCCTACCTACACGTTAATGGTTATACAGATACAGCCAAAATTAATCAGACTGACATACTCTGGCCTATGACAGCTTATAACCACCCTGCACTGGGGAGTACTCAGAGTTTTAGAAGTTAGTTATATTGCTTTCTATAAAGAAATAAGAAATTGCCTTCAGTCTTCCTGAAGAATTTGAAAGCAGCACACTGGTATATTACAGCATCACTGCTCAACAGCCACACTCCCCAGAAAAGAAATACTAAAATCAGTAGACTGTAAAAGTACATACAACCCCCCTAATTTTATCATACATTCTTATGCCAAGAAGAAATTCATCACTTGTGAACTTAAACCTAAAATGATAGAAATACCTTAACCCTTCTTAAACAGAAAAATGTTATGTCTAGTCAGCCAGAAGGAATAACCACTAAAATGGTTTTTCCGTTCGTGTCATGAAATCAGATTTCATATACCCCATACACTGCTGTGGAAAGGAAAAACTTTTGAAGTACTAAACCCACACACTGGTCAGAGACCTGCTGGGACAAGAAGCTTGTACTTCTTAAAAGACTATAGTTTTGTATCTAGAGAAGAATAAATTCCTAATCTCATCCTATCTTGAGAGACATAAACACATTATACTGTTTGCACCAATACCTGAAGGCTTTCATCAAGAATAGCAAGATATTGTGGCACATTTCCAGCATTTTACTCCTCTTCAGCCTTTTTCACACACTGAGTGACACTCGCTCAGGTCTTTGTTCTTTTTTTTCTCTCAATTATTACACCATTATCTCCTCTGCTAACACTTAGTAACTAGCTGTTTTATGTAATGGAAAACAGAGAGAAGACAGTTCCATCATCTCTGCAGCAGCTGGATAATTAAGGGAGTGATCTGTAACTGGGAAAACCAAAATATTTGCACATGCTATCTATGGCAAGTGTAAATGAACTGTAGGTATTCCTTAACTGCAATCTAACTATTTCTGCAGCTGTATAGTCAGGACAATAACCTTTTCAGAGAGTCTTGTCAAGAAGTGTCAATAAGGAAAATATTTTGACTGTAGCTGAAATAGATATGTAGCAGGTTAGGCATGACTAGGCATAATTGCCCTAGTCATGATCTTCTTTAATTCTCTGATACGCATTTTCTATATTAAGACATAGGAACTTGAATCCAAAACAGAAAAAAAAATAATATATATATTCCACTTAAAAAACTGAAAAAAAGGAAGAAACACTCACATGGTAAATAAATTCCTGGGCAATCATATGTCCACCAGAAGAAAATAGCAAAAAGTTGGTAAGAAGATGTGCTATAAGATGCTGGGTATGACTTTGCTCTGTATTTGTTAAAATGTGTACAGCAGCCTCCAGATCTTTGATGGAAAGGACTGTACAGCTGAAGAGCATCATTAGACGATTGTAGACTGCTTGAGCTTCCACCTGCAGAAAACAATTTCAAGGATGCAGGATCAGAGAAGAGTAAAGGTCATACCCTATGGTATTTTTCCTTTGGATTTATTCACTAACAGGAAACTGAATCCTTGGCAGAAACTACCCAAACATTAAAAGATCTTGAATTTAGGCAGCAAGGAGAACAGGGAAGGAAGGGCTGTACGCATTTCTTTTATACCAATTCACACACACAGAGGTGGACAGAATGGATTTTTAAAGTTTCTTTGGTCTTACAAACTAAGCAGGCAGGGCATCAAGCCAGGATTTGACCTTTTTTAATAATAAAAGGAAATGGAGAAACTCCCTCAGCAGAACATGGTCAGATTTTTGCATTGTGGGAAAAAGAACAGAGGCTCCTCAAGGGCTCATTTCAGTATTGCTGCACAAATCAATTAAATCCCCATGCAACCTGACCTCGGCTGATAAAATGTTCTGGTAAGAATGCAGTTTTTTCCTTCTTCCTGTGTTGTTTGTAACTTATGGTTTTACCTTTCAAGTTAGCCAATAAAAACTAATTTTTACTGGGAGTAGAAACAGAAGATTTTGGCACCTACACAATGGAAAAAGAGCTGTAAGCAACTATTGCAAAAAATCCTAACAATAATTCTGTTCACTGTATTAAAAATAAACCAAACAAACTGGTAGAAAAAAGCAGAAATGAGTAAGTGCAGGAACAATGGAAATATATACCACTGCAGGCCCAAAGGAAAAGGACACCCATTGCTCAACAATGTTCATTAGGACAATTTCTTTCAGTCATTTACCTGACCTTGGCTTTCTTGTCCCTGCCCTATTAACAATGCCACATAAAATAGTTTGAAAAGTCTGCCAATTTCTTGAATTATGTCCACAATTACATGTCAGGCAACAAACGATACCAGAACCTAAAGGAAGGTAACTGGAATTCTTAACAATTCTTTATCCCTCCGCAAATCCTATTCTTGGTGTGCCTCGATAACACGTGTCAGAGACTGGAGACTAATTGTAGCAGGTTCTGCTCTATAACCTCATGTGCCCTAGGAGACTCAGTGGCAAAGTTCCTATGACCAATCTCCAAGTTCTGCTCCTCCAATGTTTCAGAGTCTAAAGGTTTGAAAGGACTCCAACAGATGAATAAATATTGAGGAGCAAAATATTCAGTCCTGCACATATAAGTGAAGTCTAGTGAACAGCAAAGGTGGCCTCCTTCTTTTTAAAATAATTTTAACCCTATGCATTCCACTCTTGCTGATATGTAAACTCGTACCTAAGGCAAATAGTGGGAAGACAAAAATCTTAAGTCATGAGTGCAAGCCTTTCCACACAAAAATATGCTGCATTAAAAGTCCTCTAGCTTGGCATCTGCCAGAAGTTCCCATCCCATCTTAATCCTCAACCAGTGAAAGGTGCAGGAGTTGAGGAGGAAACCACTCCATTTGAAAGAGCTGAGAGCTAACTTGCCAAAGGACAAATTAAAAGAAAAAGCTAATATCTAACTGAGGGCAGAAGCTTTGCATGAACTGTGGGAATGCTTCCGAAGTAGCCTGATCTGTGGAGAAAAAAAGATGTCTTACTTGAAGTAACTAAAGGAAAGAATCACAATTAACTGAAATATTAAACCTCTGGGAACAGATAAGTAACTGTGTGGGCTGTCAGTGGAAGTTATTTTCTCACTAAAATTTGTCACACATTATGACAGTATAACAAACTGATGGAATAGGGGACAAACGGAGATGATTCTATACATGGGACAATGTGATTTCATTCTGTGCTGCTGGAGTTAAAATGTTGTTCCATACATAGATCTGTACTTAGAGCTCTTCAGTTTCATTCACCCATGTTTATTGTTCGAGTATCATGTTCTTTCTCAAAACTGCATTCTAAAACCAACCCTGATTTCCTTACTTCACTGTAACTCTAACCTAACTCTGCTTAGCCAACATCCCACACCCACTCCTAGACTATAAGAAATTATAGAGGAAAAAAAAAAGGTGATTGGGATGTTAAGTTTGCATTTGTAATGCCATGTGGGTGGTGAGAGGGGAAGGGAAGAAAAATATTGCAGAACACACTGTTGTACATTGACCATTAGATGTAAAAAAGCATGATGTTTTACTAGTGAGCTGCATTTTTGTATCAAACAGAATTAAGGGAAACGAGAGATGCTGCAGCTAGATTTTGAATCTGTGCTTTGTACATCAGATTGATTGGGCTAGTTCAAACTTGCAAAATAGCTGTAAATTAAAGGCTTTCATGTATCTGCATGCATGCACAGACACACAGCATTCTTAGAGTCATAGAATGGTTAGAGTTGGAAGGGACCTTAAAGATCATCGAGTTCCAACCCCCCTGCCATGGGCAGGGACACCTCCCACCAGACCAGGTTGCTCAAAGCCCCATCCAGCCTGACCTTGAACACTTCCAGGGATGGGGCATCCACAACTTCCCTGGGCAACCTGTTCCAGTGTCTCACCACCCTCACAGGAAAGATCTGCTTCCTAGTATCTAATCTAAATCTCCCCTCTTTCAGTTTAAAACCATTACTCCTCATCCTATCACTACATTCCCTGATAAAGAGTCCCTCCCCATCTCTCCTGTAGGCCCCCTTTAGGTACTGGAAGGGGCTATAAGGTGTCCCTGGAACCTTCTCTTCTCCAGGCTGAACAACCCCAACTCTCTCAGCCTCTTCATGCAGTACAGTGTGTAAGGTTAGGACACTGTTTTCTTCTGTTAGAAACCTAGCATGTGGAAATACAACATACTTGTTACAATCTCATACATGCCAAAAATCAGTACAGATACATAAGAGAAATCAGAACAGAACAGCACGGTTAGGATTCAGGACTGCGGCTGGTAAATATATTTACTGCTTCGACTGCTGTTGTGATTTCTCTTGGGTTTTCTTCTCAGAAGATGCCATAACACAGGAATGCTGAATTCTGCCACGCCATGATTTAAAAAAAAGCCATTTCTAGAATAGTTTTACTTGTGATTAAAAGCACCCAAGATATCCAAAAGGAAGCCAAGAAGCTGCTAATCTACATAATATACTTTAAAAAGAAGAAAATGTTTTCTAAATGTCACCAAGAAAACCCACAATAATAATCTTTCAAGTTCTCCACTGCAACACAGTTCCCAGGAGAACTTGAAAAGCCAACACCTTCTCCAGTGTAGATCACTTTTCTGGTGTGCACTATTTATTTTATAGCAATATGATATAAGCAGACTATTGACTGCTAATTGCTGGTTACTATCACTGCATTACTCACCATTGTTTGAGTCCTTTGTTGATTTTCATTTTGAGGACAGTAGTAAAATGCCAGTAGCCAAAGCAGAGCATCAGGTTCTACAGGAGCCTTCAGTAATTGCTCTGCTGCAATATCCAGCCATTCTCCAAAACGAGCAACCAAAAACCAGATTTCAAAAAGGTCAGCAAGAGAACTGGAAAATAACAAAGATACAAGTAAGTATTTCTTGTTATTTAACATTTTTAAATGTTTTAAGTATACCGCAAAAGATACTGGCATGAAAATAAAAATCATTAAACTACGCTTCCACAGATAAATGCCTTACCTGCTAAGCATACAGTCATGTACTACTCTATTATCTGCAGTCACTATCAAATGAGATATATCCAGTGCTACCAAACAGTAGAATAGACTACCCATAACACTAGTTTCTCATTAACCATAACAAAATAATTTGTATTAAAATACGCATCATAAAATTAAACCTTATCATTTATACTCTCCAGTTTAAGGATTTTCAAAACTTTAAGTCATATCTCAGGTGTTGTATTCTAACTTACTGTTGCCTTTTACTGTCTTCCAGTTTCTTTCTGGTGTTTTCCAGATTATTTTCATGTTTTTAGTAATTCACGGGGCACATATTTTATGGTAATTCATGAGGAATTATATTTACATGGACTAAATGTGAAGTTTTAAAGAACATTTATCTGCCCAGTCTTAAAGTTCAGGTCCGCTTTAATGAAAATTTTGAAGGTATTTACAACTGCGTTACTGCAGTAAGAAAAAGGAAGGTGGGAATGGACCACAGCTCATCTCTTCACTTTCTCACATGTGCTCTTCTGAAGTTATGATAAGACTACAGAAAAGAGAAATAATGGGGAGATGCAAACTAATAGTAGGTGTCTCCAAAGCAAAAAATCAAACTGAGTGCAGAAGGAAGGACAGACAAAAGGAGAGCTGGAAGAAGATTAAGAACCAGGAACAATTATTCCCATTAAGTTTGGCAAAAGTTTGAAGAATTAGAGGTGTTTCTTATGTTTTATTCCTGGGAACTCCAAGAGCTGCTGTGCCACCCCTCCCAGGAAACTCCAAAATATCTTAGAAATTTCAGGAGTTGATGAAGTTGTCTGAGACCATCATATCATCTGGGGAATGATAATTGGAATAAACTGCCTTACTTTTAAGACTTTCTGAAGAAGTGGGAGGCACAGTTTTATGGATGAAAGTGTGATGTGTGCAGATAGTATTCTATGTCTGGAGGATAGTGGTGACTGATACTGTCTACAGGTGTTCCAGAAAGTATCGATCCTGTAAATTATATTTGTCTATATGTCACAGAATCTCAGGGTCTCAAAATCCCATTCTTAGGATACAAATCCACCACATCAGGATTTTTGGATAAGCATGATCACTGACATCAGACATAACAGGGTGACATAGAGTATTAGACAGAAAATACTGAGGAGAGTGCTATAAAAATCGCCCTTGTTGATATTCCAGAGCTTTTGGAGGGGCAGCAGCATGGCTCAGACTGCAGGGAACTAGAGATGCATGACAAAACCTGAGACTAAAATTCCTTAGCTAAAGGAACAGCATCAGCACTGGTAAAGCCTTTGAAGATACTAGAATTTGGAAATGCAACATTAAAGACCTTTGAAAAAACAAATGTGACAGTGACCACAGACAACAGTCCTCCCTTCAGCAAGTGTTCATAGCTCAAAGGGAAATACAGGTCCCTAAACTTCAAGCACTACATTAATTTTAACCGGTACTTAGCAGAATAGAATTCAATTCTTTCCTGGAGAGCCTAGGCACCACTGTACTTACAACTCAACGTGACTCCTGTACCATCACAGTGTCTGGTTTGGAGCCATCTACCCTCCACTCCTTTCCCCACTGCCGTTTCTGCCTGCTTCGTGGTGGCATGTATGTCAACTGCTCCACTGTCATTGCCATCAGTGGCCCTTCACTTTTTCCGGGACTTTTCCCCGCAAAATGTACCTCAGCTGATTTCTGGTTTAAAATGTCACATAATATTTGCTGTTCACTGAGATGACTATATATAACAAAAAAAGGCACAGAAGCAATCTGTTAATGAGAAGTACACAGAGAGCACCTTGCTGTAAGACTTACATTTGGTGTAAAGTAAAACCACTGAAAAACAAGCTAGATAAACAGAGAGCACTGACGATAAGAAGCAAGAGGATATGCTGTATAGTAGTATTTTTGCTCCTGTGAATCTTATAAAGATGCAAAATCAGGAATAAAGCAATGAAAGAAAAGTGAGTACAGTTTCCTCACAGGTATTAGTATTTGAAACCTTAAGCCAGATCCATTTTCTTTGTTACGGAGAGTGGTTTGTTTGGTAGAGAACATAATTGTTGCATGAGTTCTAAAGGAAGTAAGAGGATATTCTGGCAAGCACAATACTATTAAACTATATAAAAGCAAAGGGGGGAAAAGACAATATAAGCCGGTGTACTATCAAAGCAAAGGGGGGAAAAGACAATATAAGCCAAAAAATGGCTAGGCAACAAATGGAAAAACAGACATGCTTCTATTATTGTAACACATATGATTGACAATATTTGTTTTGTTGGTTTGTTCTACGTTAGAGTTACTGTTTCTTTAAGAAGTAGGGTCACACTGCAAGGGCAGAAAGGTTTGACGGGCTCCAGGGATGAACAGGGGAGACAGCACTGAACTGCAGCTCATACAGAAACTGAGAAGCTGCCAGCAGACAGCTCAGCCTCAGAGGGAACAGCAAAAAGCTTTTTTCTGCCACTCAACAGAAATAAAGGCCCCCATGAGTTAACTGAAACCAAGCATGGATGCAAGTATCTGCCTTCCAGGACACAGCGGGGACAGCTAGGTATCTTGTTTTGCAAGTCGCTCTGGCCAAGGCATTCCATATTTCTATTGAAATATTTAAAGTTTTAAATCAAAATGAAATTGGTTTCCTTGAATTTAAAAGCTGTTCAATATTCTTTGGAAATCTTACTCTTGGAGCAGATCTAAGCAGACTCATATCCAAGCTCTAGACAGTCAGGTCTCATCATGCGCCTGATAAGAAAGAATTACAGGGCAGCAACAGATAGAGATGTATCTTTTTTCATTCTTATCATATAGTCCTAGAGCATCTCCTACCAAAGCAGAATTCATGCTGACAAACACTATCATTCATTACAGAAACTATTTGGACATAAAAGGCTAACAGGTCAGAAAGATGGGGTGTCAGCTCAAAGAGTAATAGAACAATGAATGACACTGCAGTCTAGCAGTCCTATCTTTATGGAAAAAAAATAAAAATCAAGAAGTTTGAAGTTTGGATGTTTGCACAAGCTTGCAGAAAGTCAATACAGTAATCTTCTTCATAAAACAGTACCACTCACAACAGGTTCTTCCCAATACTAGCTGCTTTTCTGGTTGAAAGAGTTGTCTTATTATGAAATCCAGAATAATTTTTTTAAAGTTTTGGGGAAAAAATAGGAGCGTAGGCAAGTAAGCATTTCTGTTATAGAGCTAGCCATTTGCTGAAATGAATAGAACAACAAGATTTTGTTTACTCAGAGGCTTATCGGTCAGGTGTATAGGTGCTACTAAATTCAGGTTCTTAGTGGTCTAAGTCCTATTCTTTAAAACAAAGCTCTATTTAGATAATAAGAACGTGATGGAATGTAGCCACTAAAGACTTCAAATGACATGACTTTTCACAAAGTAACATATGCAAAGAACAAAAAGTTAGAAAATTAAATACTGCTTACCTAATGTTTGTACCTTCTACTAATGCTTTGATCATATCTGAAATGTGTTTCAAGTGTTGAGACCAGCGTGTTGTTGGCAGCTCTGAGGGGGAGGATGAAAATAAAACTCTTAAAAGTCTAGTCTGCTCAACTGGAACAGAACAGTGAAAATAAACATATTAAGCTAGCATGAAAATTTGTGCAACTTGATTCAGCTGTCACAAAGCATTAAAAAATTCATTTTAAAATTTCCCAGTTTTCAACAATACCTATTACTGTGTTTCTTCAAACAATTCGTTTACAAAGCCATGTGAGGAAGTACAGCTAGGATTATTCAAATGAGGCTGATATACCCTTGTGTAAATGCTATATTATGTCAATATTAAGACATAATCAGTGGAGTAACACTCTCTGAGGTTCTTGTACCGAGCTGAAATTATTGCTCATGAAAAACTGTAGCATACTGAGCAGTGGTGTCTTGATCTGTAGGAATGGAAAACCTGAAAAAAATAATAGGCTTGCCATCTGAAAGATCAGCAGAATTCAAGCTTCAGAGACAAACAGCAAGGCTATTTCCTGTAAGATACATATGAACGTTTTCATAATGACAATTACTGACATTGTAAGATGAGAATAATTAGGTTTGTTACAATCTCAGTAACTTGTTTTCATTCCTACAAAATTATGTACTCTTTGTTGTTAACTTCTGGTTTAGTTTTCTTTAAAGTTACATCTGTATTATTGTTACATAAGAATTAGATGTTCCTGCAAAGAATTTCATTTTAAAAATATTATGAAAATTGCTAACTCAACACAGCCCATTTAGGAAATAGCAAAATTTTGTTTTCATCCTTTTAGAAGTTATTTTAGGACATACACAGAATATGCAGGTTGGCTAATGATGCAAATATTTAATGAATAAACTTACCAAAAGGATGTCTGAGTAAAGCTGTCACAAGAGGCTGGTGATGGTAAGGGAAGTAGGCCTTCAGTGGAAATTTATGCTAAGATACAAAATCATTATTTTAAGAGCTTTCCAGTCAGTTTACAAAACAAACCCACCATGGACAATCTTATCTAAGGTAACAATACAGGCTGAAGCAAGAGAACACACTTAATTTTAGGATTTCACATAAAGAAAGAAGGGGGATATTTAGGAAAAGCTTGCTTAGAAAAAGTAATTATTTATGGATTTTTAAAATACATGCATTAAAAAAGATTCAAAGTATGAAGAAAATTACATCTTAATATTCTTACACTTTTTCTCTGTAATCGCAAAAGTCTTCACTCTTAGTATTCAGAGGTGAAAAGAGACACTAATTTGTTTGATTTCATTTTCCAGTGTAAACAAGTTCACAGATCATATTAAACACAGAACTAGTAACAGCTACAAAATCTGAGGGCGTGATGTAGATTATTGCCTTATATTCGGAAATGGAAACCTAAAATTCTTTGGATCTGATTCAGCACAATGTAGGGTAACACAGATAACAGACCTGTCCTCTCTCTGGGCACACACGATTTGCATACTGAGAACATTGCTGCTTGTGTAATTGAGACTAGCAGCAGCACTCCTTTCATATTTTTGTTCTGCAGACATCTACTACAGGCATGTCTAACGTGTAGCACGCATGTGCAAGTGCAATATGAACTCCCTTTGAGGTGGATCACCAGAGGGTGGTAATCATTGACACAAATTCTAGCTGGAGGCCAGTAACCATCAGTACAACCCAGGGGTCCATACGAGGTCCACTCCTGTTTAACATCTTCATTAACCATCTGAATGATGAGGCAGTGTTCCCTCAGCAAGTTTGCTGAGGACACAAAACTGAGAGAAGCAGCTGATATGATATGCCAGAGGGTTGTGCTGCCACATCCAGAGGGACCTTGACAGGATGGAGAAATGGGCCGACAGGAACTTCCTGAGGTTCCACAAGGAGAAAGTATGAAAGGAAGGAACAACGCCAGGCATCTGTGCATGCTAGTAGCCAAACAGTTGGAAAACAACTTTGCAGACATGGACCTTGGGGTCCTGGTGGACACCGAGTCAAATGTGAGCCAACAATGTGCACTTGCCGCAAAGGCAGAGAGTGGTATCTTCAGCTGCATTAGGGAAAGGATTGCCAGCAGGTGGAGGGAGGTGATCCTTCTGCTCTCCTCAGCACTGGTGAGCACCTGTTACAGCAGCCAAACCTGGAGAACTATGTCCTCTCCAGTACAAGGGAAAGATGAACATACTGGAAAGGGTTCAACAGAGGGCACAAAGACAATTAAGGGAGTGGGGCATCTCTCCTATAAGGAAAGGCTGAGAGCCTGGAGAAGAGAAGGCTCTGGGGGATTTTAGCTATGTATCTAAATAACTGAAGGGAGGGTGCAAAGAAGATGAAGCTAGGGTCTCTTCAGTGGTGCCCAGTAACAACGCTAGAGGCAACAGGCAGAAACTGAAACATAAGAGGTTCTATGTGAATATCAGAAAACACTTTTTTTTTTTTTTTCTTTTACTGTGAGGATGATCGAGCACTGGCACAGGTTGCCCAGAGAGCTTGTAAAGTCTTAGTCCTTTGGGATATTCAAAAGCCAACTGGAGATGGTCCTGTGCAACTGGTTCTAGATTGCCCTGCTTAAACTGGGGAGTTGGACAAAATGACCTCCAGATGTCCCTTCAGACCTCAACCACTCTATTTCAGTCTCCACGCCAATGACCTTAGAACTCTTCTATCTCCTTTCTTTAGGAATAGGAGACTATTTAGCAAATAGATAATCTCTCGAAACACAGACTGGGAATACAGACTCTATAAAATGTCTATAAAAGACTCTATAAAATTTCTAAATCCAATGAAGACCGTATTTAGTAACCCATTTCTTTTGGGATATACATGCATGCATCTTATCAATAAATGGAATGACACGTTCTCTCTCTACTCACTTTTTTGTTTTGTAAACAACAGTTAACTGAAATTACAGCACACTAATACACACAGTATTCTCAAACAGTCTATGTATTACTGGTATGGTAAGACTCTAAAATCTACCTGTCAAGTGGAATTAGGTTAATTAAAAATTAATAATCCCTATACTAAAGTATGTACATACCTAATTAGTTTGCACCAAAAATCCCCATGAAAAAGCAGTCCTTGACACAGTTAGTAGTAGCCAAGACAACCCACAGCATGAGTTACATATGGAAACAATATCATAAAGCAAGTGAAAACCAGTTTTGAGCATACTGTTTAAGCAAAGCAAAAAGTAAATACAAACACAGTATTCTAGGCAGTTCATTCCTTACATAAGCCATCACAAAGTGCAAAACAATGAACAAAGAGACAGGATGAGTTTGGATGTGGCTGGTTATATTAATTACCATGATGTATAACATAAAATAAAACACTGGAAAAAAAAACAGAAAATAGAACACTGGCTTAAAATATTTATCCAGCAATTTAAAACAGAATTCCCATGTGAAAACCACTGATAATTCTGAAATTCTCAAGGCTAAATAATCCTGGAGGAATTTATAATTTCCATCAAACAAAAACATGTTTACAAGTAACATGACCCAACTATCCTTAGGTCAGCTTTCACTGCCATCACAAACTTGAAGGAAATCTGCTTGTACAAAACATGGAAAGGATCTCAGTCCACCCACTCTGAAATTTTACACAGTCTTTTTTCCTATATATACTCCAATTATACCTTTTTCCTATATATACTCCAATTATATCTTTTTCAGTCTCCCAAAACACAGCTAAACCCTGTAGCACTATTTTTTCACACTCTGAGAAACCTGAGGACTAGGGCAGCTGTCCCTGTGAAAAATCACAGTTTAGAGTAAAGTCAGGTAAATTGCTCTTATGTATTGGTTTCACTCTATAATGTTATTCACAGGTGAAAATGTTCGAACTGAAGTTTGGCATGTATATACAACTGTAGAGAGATGCTATTATTCAGCTTATTATATTTATTCATCATTCTTAACAGCAGAATTTTTCTTGTGAAATTTCATATCTTCTTACTGAAAAGAAACATTAAGAAATAGATCTTGACTAACCTGCTTGGTTTCATTCTGATGACACTGAAGGAAGAGCTGTGTGAACACCTGTATTATGGTCAAAACTTCTGGAGTTCCACCAGTTTCTAGCAGTACATTCCTAAGCATTGAAAAGTTAGATTACAACAGATCAGATAATTAGTCTGCCCATGACACTACTGTTAACTGAAATGAAGAAAAAAAAGGTACAGTGTTTGTATGCTGTAGATTCAAGCTGTGTTTGAGCTCATTGTGTCAGTGTTAGATAGAAATACTAACTTTGCAGGCTTTTAAAATTTCATTTTTATTTTAAAAAAACCCAACATAACACAACTTCTACAAATAAACTAGGTTTGGTAAGTATATAAATTATACATACAGACACACAGAATTTATCCTACCAATAGGAGAAAAAAGTGTAAAATTAAAAAAAAGAGACTACCACAAGTTTATTAGGCAAATTTGGCATTTGAACATTCTGACTGGGTTCAGGCCAACTATTTCCATGCTTACAGTTACACATACTTTAGTCTTTGTGGGACTGCATCCCACAGGCATTTCAAATTAGACAGAAAGTACAGTCTAGTACAATCTCCTAGGATATGTAACCAAAGGAGAAAAAAACCCCACAACCCCCTCCAAAAAAAAAAAAGAAACCAACCTCACTTAAGCTGATCAAATTTAAAAGCTACATATTAAAAAATTACAGAAGAAGACTGAACTTAAATAATACAGCTTCTGTTCAGTCACTGTGACTCCTTAGTGATCATTAAGCAATGAATCAGAAGCACAAACAAAAGTGAGTGCTACCAAAGGTGTACTTTAGATCAGTAATTGCTACAGATTGAAGTAGTGACCAATGCATTCCAATGTGCTTTCAATAGTGACATCATAAAATCCATTCTGGAGGCTTAGCCAGCCTTCCCCAGGGCATAATGTAACCTTGAGCAAATGGTGCAGAAAAACATACAGACAGCAGAGTGCAATTTTCATTCTCTTATTTGAAAGACATGTAATGGGAAGGAGAAAAAATGCTAAAAGTAAGCTGCCACTGAGATATAAGGTTTATTAGATAGTTTTTTCTTTCCATAATTATCTGGAAGAACAGCTTACACATTACTGTAACAGAAATGTCACAAAACTATAGGCACATATATTCACTAATACAAACACAAGAACTGGTACACAGAAACTGAAGACAGTCTAGGTGTGTGGACTTGTGCATAGCCACACTTAGAAAGAAAATGAGCTTCTACTTGGGAAATAAAAACCCAAGTTAATATTCCTGAGATAAAACAGTTGAGCACAATCAATATCAATAAAAGCATGCAAGGAGCAGGAAAAGCTTTTCCTGAAAGAGACACAATGCTTAGATCTATGCTTCTAACAGCCCCCCAAATAAAAGTTTACTGCCAAGTGCAGGAACACAGCACAGTTTCCAAGCAATGAAGTACAAGTTCCTTATCAACAGCTCTCTAAAATCTCACATCTGGAATAGTATCTTAGTGTCTGCACACCACTTGAAAGTTGGAAGGATGTCAGAGAATTGTAACAAAAATGAACACAAAGCTTTTCAGAAGATGCTATCTGTGCTCAGACACTGGACCACCACAACAGAAAGGACTGCCAGGTGGTTTCACTCTCCCAGTATGGCAGTCTACACTTTCTACAGTAAAGACATGCACACAGGCACCTCAAACCAGGACAGCATGCTCCCAAACACTTTTATCTGGGAGCCCTTTTTTCTTAAGAAGGAAAGCACTTGATGAACAAACAATGTCATTCATTAAACACATTATTGTCGTATCAAAGCTGTAACACTGATAACCTTGGCAGTAGATTTACTTAAAAAGAACGATAAAATAGTAAGTCAGGTGAAGTGAGGAGAGAAAGCCACTGAAAACTGACCACAAAGTTCTGGAAGCCCCCATGTGGTAAACAATACCTATTGCTCCAAAATAATGCATTCAAAACCAAACTCATTATTAACAGCCAGATCAATAGTTTAATGCCATTAAAAGCATATCTGATATCAATCCTGAAGACTTACTAACATGATGTAAAAGAGATCCGACTGGTATGTGCAAAAGTTTTAGCTAAATTTCATCTTCATGCTGGCATGGGGTATGCCATTTCAGCATTTATATTTTATACCTCAAAATCATATTTCAGCCACAAATCCCTACTGAAATAGAAAATAAATTATAATCTTTAAAGGCTACAATATAATGTAGTCAACTGTATCAATTATAATATAACTTTTATGTAAAGTTTACAAGATTTTTAACATTTTTCATTATTTGCAGTATATTACACAGAAGGGGACACTAAGGCATACAGCTAAAGAAGGATAGTCTGAAATTATAACACATCCCAGATTATAATACTGCTTCTTCTCATGGAGAAAACCTCAATGTTTAAACTGATCATCTGAAACACTTCCCACTGTAATTTCAAAACTTACTTGAAAATTTCATTAACAATTCTGAAAACGGCAGGATGGCTTGCTGCTTGTGGCTGTTGATAAGCAAATGAAAGAAAATTAGTCACTAGTAAGAAGCAACTCAAATGCCATTATATAATTTAAAGCTTAACTCATGGATGCTATTACACTGCTGTTATTAAACTGCAAATTTCAGATCAACTCTTACTAAACCTTCAGATTTTCTCAGGATGAGGTTCTTCAAAATAATTATGTCAAAGTCATGGAAGGAGATCCACAGCGATACCAAGCAGGCTAAACAGCTGATAAACGCCAACACCTGGGATCCCAAACTGTTTATGACAACGATCACTGAAAATACTAAAGGTGGCAGATAGAAAGAACAGGCTGCTGCATGCAATTGCTGGGGGCAAGAGACAGGGAGCAGACTTACAAAAAAGCATTTCTCTCCTTTTCACAGACAATCCCTTTTGGATATGCTTTGAGATTCTTGCTACATCTTCAACATTAAATTCCAGAAATCAAATTTATTTTATCACCTTTGTCTTTAACACTATACATTTTGGTCCAAGACATATTTTCACAGTATTATCTACTTCTGTGAATTTCAGAGTTGCTAGTACAAGCTAAACATCTAAGTGCATCAAAATTGTTTTTTTTTAAAACTAGTGAAGATTTTTATCATGAGACAAAATGACACAAAAACTTTTTAAGAAAGTTGTTATGTTAAACATGCACTAGTAATCACATTACTTTTTAATCCCATATTTTAAAATTCTAAGATTTATTAGCCTTTTATAGAGCACCAAGAATAAAAAACTACTTACACATTCCCCAAAGTATATGTGCCTAAGCTAAAAAAAAAAATTCAGTTTGTGTTTCTGAAGTTACCACCTGAAAATTTGATAAGAATATAGTTCTTAAACAATCCAGAGAAATGCATGTTTAATAGCATGCATTCGATAAACTTCAGGAGGCATGGAAGGAATAGTGTTTAAAAATGGCATATATTCTAACAGCTTTAAGTGCCTGAAAATTCCAAAGAAAACATTTATGCATTTTTTTCTAGCTAAAAAGTACCAAATAGAATTGATTTTTTTTCCTTTTAAATTGCACACAGGCAGAATAAGAACTTAACTTTATATGATCGCTAAATGATAATCTCAAAAAATACAGAGACAACCTTTAATACAAACTGTCTAGAAAAGCTTCTTGATTCTCACAGTTGTCTTTGCCATACTGGAAATATTAGGTGGCACCTCATTTTCATGTTTTACCATGCTTTTTCTCTGTCACATGGTTGTAGCTAAATTGTCCTATTGAACGTATGACATCTAGTGTTCGAGAGTTTTTGCAGCCGGCGGTTTGGAGGTGTGAAGAACACCACGCAGCTTGGTGCAAAGCTGGTCTCCAAACTTCCACTGCTAGAAGGAGAAAGCAAGCTGGCTGGGTGAGACATAAAGGACACGTTCACCTCTTCTTTTTTTTTTCTTTTTTTTTTTGAAAAGGAAAACTTGGACTAGACTATCTTCAGAGGTGCCTTCCAACTCCAACCATTCAGCAATTCTGTGAAAACAGTGGAAAATGAGAAGTATGTTTTTCAGTCCCGTGGGCCAAATGGTTGAATTCAGCTATTTCTCCACTGTCTTTTCAGATACTCTGCCTACTTTTGCATACATACTCCTATGATGACCTACCAACCCACTGTTGCTTAAGACAGGTTGCGTGAAAACTAGGAAATGTCCATCGTTGCCACACAGATCAAGATCAAATCAGAACTCTTTCTAACAAGAGCAAAATAAATGTACTGCATGCAACAATGAAAAACCCTCCACCCTTTCCTGCCAGACAGCAGCAACCTACAGTACTCACTAGAAGAAACCACAGTTAATAGCTGTTGGTATTTAAGCTACACTACTCAAATCAATACGACTTTAATCACTGGTATTCAAAATGGAAAACAAAAAAAACCCCACCACCGTTACCTAACTCCACAAGATCTTGATCAGTGGACTGCATGGAATTAATTTGCAAGCACTGTATGTAAGAATGCTCTTATAGCGCAAAAGCCTCCAAGGCAATTTGAAGATGTGCCTATTGAGCAGCAGGACTAGAGCAGTTATTACATACACAAGTTCTATAGAACTACACAACTTTTGTAACTGTATTATCAGAATGAAGAATCCTAAACAACTGATTTATAATACGAAGCCAGAACTGAATAAAGACATAAGAAAAATACATTTGTATCTACAGGATTCAAGTAAACGGCACAAAGAGGAGTGTACTAATAATCATATGGTGTGTTTTTTTCACACCATAGAATGCTCTGTAACGACCGCAAGTAAGAGTAAACATAGGGAAACAAATTGTGCCCAAAATCACACTGCAACAGATTTGAGATGGTAACACCATAAATACCAGTTCTTTTCATTCAAACTCAATTGCAATTAATTGCACACAACATTTCTACAGTTAAACACATCTAGCTTTAAGAAACTATTACATTGCTGTATGTCAAGTGTTACCTGTATTTCCAAATTGTGTATTTACCTGCATTCCTGAATTTTATATTTACCAATTAAAAATAAGAAGTGTCACAATTTTTTTTCCAATACTAAGTGCCAAATGTATTTTTCTTTGAAACATACACTTATTTTGAAAGCACAAACATCTTTTTACAGAGGCTTAAAAAGCTCCCGAACTCATCAACATTACGAATAACTTAGTGTGCACTATTTAAAAAATTTTACCATAACCACACAGGTTTGGAAGACAGGCAATACTGAGAGGACTAACTGTACCTTAGCTGGAGTTTATTATGACAAGAAAAAAAAAAGCTTCTGGTTTTCCCTCCCTGTCCTTGCTCCTTTCTCCCTCGTTAGCGCCATTGGCACAGCTCCCAGTGGAAGGTGAGCGTGGATCCAGCGAGACTCAGAACTTGGGGATAAGGCACAGCAAGAGGGCAAGGCGAGGGCATGGGAACCAGAGCAGTCTGCAGCTCGGTACCCTGTCAGTGAATGCAAGAGTCACCCTATCACCCGCCATAAACGGCATTTGCTCTGCAACGCTGAAGCGAAAATAACGAGGGAGACCCCACAGCTAGAGCTTTAACTGCAGCGCCCAGCGTAACTCCCATAATGGGCTGGGCTTGGGAAAGCTGACAAGCAGGAAAAAACAAATGCAGCAGTAACAGATGGCTTGTAAAAGACAAGCAAGAAATTTTAAGCCCTATTGCACTTTTTCTAATATAACTTTGAAACAAATAAAACTACTTTGGGAAGCTATCTAAGAACTGAACATAAATTATAATTGACACTGATTCATTCGCACCTCTTTTTACATACACATACTTTAAAAATCTAGTGTTTATATACATACCTATGTATTTCTGGTAAGGCATAAAATTCTACTATGTGTATTTATGTACATTTTAGTTGTTAATGCACACATAGAAACCTCGAAGTTACTTCAGCAAGGAAGACACACAGTCACCAACCAAATTCTGAAGACGCTAAAAGACCATTTGTGATGGTCACTGCACTTGTTTTTATCACTTCTGAATAACTATAGAATTTCCAATATTAGTTCCAGATCCATGAACTTAATAGCATACAATATATACACCATCACACTACAATTACTCTTGGAATTAAAATAGAAGAGTATTGCATATGAAATTTCTTTCATAATAGAAACACAGTCGTTTACAAGTATCTGGGTACCATAGATCTCTATGAAGTTTATGTGCAGTTTGTTACTGTATTTTATTTAGATAAATTACTCTGATAATACAATTATGAAATAGCTTACCGAAATGTCCTTCTTATCATACACTATAACCAAATCAGTAACATATTTCTGCCTATTTGTACTCTAGAAGTTTTCTTCCAAATAGGAAAAAAGTATAAATCCAGTTTTGTCTCATGATTCCACTTTTTATTACTATGTCCACAAGGCAAACAGAGGTTACATCCTACAAGTACCATAATCCAACAGCCAAAGTATGAACATCCATATTCCTAAATAAATATTCAGATGTCTTTCATTTGAATATTTGTCAAATATTCAAATGTCTTCACTGTCTTTCTAACAGTAATCATCCTGTTGGATTCAAAGTGCTGACTGATCTAATGTCACACTAATATCTTTATAGTACCATGTACTAGTTGTACAAAATATGATTCATTTCTGGATCACAATATCTGGATCAAATCTTTTCCTTCTGTACTGCCTCTCTGAAGCTGCTCATCCTATTTTTATTTTTTTTAATTGGCATTCCATCTTCCATTTATGCACCCTCCCTCTTATTAATTCCTATCAATCAGCAATATCCATCTTCCAACAGCTCTCTTCTCTATGCCTCCATTCATTGCACTCCTTGTCCACAGGATGTCCTCTCTAAACCAGCATTCAAAGCTGCTGCACTGGCCTTTCCACTCTGTGGAGATCTTATTTTGAAAGCACAAAGTCTTTGGAGTAGGGGCAAGTAAGGACAACCTAAGAGTGCTAGCACAGCAATGTTCCCCTCTTTTCAGGGATTGGGATGTGAAGACGAGGTAAATACAAACATTGTTAATGAACAACAATAACCGAATAATTTAAACAAAGATTTTACTTCTATTTATATATAACCTAGATATTTGCTTTTTTCCCTTAGCCACACATGGTACCAGATACTGTATTCAATTAAGTGTATCCGATACAGAAAGACTAGGCACAGGCCTTGTGTACAGTCTTGTCTTCTGGAATACCGAGATCCTCAGCTGACATATGAAATGCTGTACATGCCAAGGATCTACCAGATTTGCAAGTACTAGGATGGATCCCTAAAATAGAAATTTGCAGAATCATTTAAAAAGGAAGAATATTTAAAGATATCATTCTTTTCCTATCTAAAATATGTAGTCTGTAAGCAATTTTATAGGCTGAAAATAAGACACCACGTGCCATTTTTCAGTTCTATCTATTTAATGAAACATATAATTTAAGTGTATAACACACATGCTATTTCACACTGTAATTAACAATTAAGTTTACATTTAGTGTGAAAACTAGCCCATTATTTTGAAAAAGGTATTGTGTCATGTTTTCTTGTAAGAAAGATTTTTGGGGCACTGTGTAAAACAGCATTTGAAACAAACTTTAATTACAGTTTACGAAATGTTTTGTTAAGAATTTTGTTCAGATGTGCAAACAAAACCAAGTAACTAAGCAGTCCATAATAAAATGATCTACAAGGAATTTCAATTGTTTAAACTGCTAAACTCCCCAGGGCACAGAGATTGAAGTAAAAACAGATACAAATCCTTCCTGGCCAAAGTTTATAACTTTTTTAGGACAGAGGCAGGTACGCAGCACCTCCACCAGTCAGATTCTCATCTTGTTGTCCATTCTTCATCACTAGATAAAACTTTTTTTCTCTCTTCTACCAATGCAGTGGAAAACCTAAAAATTTAGTCACATTTGTAAGACTCAAAATTTACCTTTGCACTAGCAAGTTACATGCCATGAGCATGCCACAGCCATTTCCCTCAAATACACTGATGTATTTGAAAACTCCCTGAACTTCTGAAGCACAAAAGAGCAGTACCAAATGTAATGTATGTGCACCATACCAGTAGTGAATCTTTTATGACACTAGCCACTTCTTCCAGTGAATTCAACTGAATGGAAATCAGCTGGTCTAAAAGATGTAATGTAGCTTTTTCAAGACTTGGTAAGTGACGAAGCCAGAGGCTGAAGACAGCTGATTCAGGGAGAGAGATCTTCTTCCTGGTTTAGAGAGAAAAATACTGTTTTCCTGAGAAACTGGAAGGAAGACAAAAATGTACTTTTTTGTTTTGTTTTTTAAAGCACATTGGAGAATAAGAAGACACAAAGATCAACCTGCAGGAAGAAAGAGAAAACTTGTTTACAATACTCTGTTCAATATCAAATAATATCTGCAAAGAATAACCGAGTCACCATCATCTACAAATAAAACCTTATCACGTCTTTAAAACCTAAAAATTTGGTTCTGATGGATCCCAGCAAAAGGAAATGGAAAGTTTAAGCCTGAAGTTCCTTTCCTCTCTAGAGAAGGGTCCTGCCCCACACTTGTGCTCTTTCAAACCCGGACTGCTTCCTGCAGACCAGTCAGCTCAGAAAGTGTTATCAGCTAACAGATATGCAGGAAAGTCTGGCTAAATCAAAGGATTACCTGTCTTTGCAGAGAAACTAAAAAAAAACCCCAAAAATTCATCTTAAAAAAAGAGGTAGAAGTAGGTAAGTTTTCACACTGACCCGAGCCTTTAAAAAGACAAATGGTTGAGAAGGTAATTATCTCTTCACCTAAAGCTTTCAGCTATAGCTCAGGTGAAGTATAGTGTTGTATCACTAGGAAATAAAAAGGCACAGTTTATTTTGAGACAACACCATAATTTGTGTAGACCAGCACAAATCAAAATATACTAAAGTAACCATCCAAGAAGAAGAGAGATCACAGCACAAAATATCCTGGAATATATTTGCAGTTATCATGATAATTGCAAATTAAAAAGTGGTGGGTTTTTTTTTAAAAAAATACATAATTAACAAGAAATATGTGCCTTGATATTAAATCAAGTTAAGATTAAAAAAACTTAATTAATCAAGTTAAGATTAAAAAAACTAAAATTAGGCTGGAGAGTACATGTGAACTAAAGCTACTGATAAAAGAAAAGAAAAATATCAGTAGAAAGAAAGATTTAACAGCATTTTAGGATCTATTTTTACCATGCATTCGTTTCAATATTAGCCTTCAGTAGTCCTGAGTGATGTGCTCTGGGCAATCCTGCTTTGGCAGGGGAGTTGGACTAGATGATCTCTAGAAGGTCCCTTCAACTCCAACAATTCCATGATTCCATGATTCAGAATTATGATTTCCATTGAAAAGCTGTATTTTTTCCATGCAAAACTATGTAATAGCTTAATTTAAACGTGTACATCTGTAGAATTTCAAAATTGTAAAGCAATGCTCAACTTCAAGATGCTGTTTGATTAAGGATCACTATTAAAGCACATATGTACATCAGAGTAAATTAAGAATGACAAAAGATCATTTAATTTTGCCACAATCCTCTTTGCTGTTGCTTTTGTGGTAGCATGGTAGATATTACAGATATTACACCAGGAAAACAAATCTAATAAGCTTACATAGACATGTTCCAATTCTGAGATTTAAAAAACATGTAGGAAGTAAACTGTAGTCATTATCCTTATGTGACTGAACTTGCAGATGGTCCCACTGGAACCATGCTGAATTCTGTGGAGCACTGCAAGTCCCAGCATTTAATAACTCTATTTCCTGGAGCAGGCTTCACCCATGTTCAGAAGGAAAACAACTGTTCATAACACAATGACAGAGTTAGGGAACAGAGAATTCAATTGTTAAAGGGAGGGAATAAAAATACAAGCATATTCATGTTAAGATCACATGGGCTTCAGCAGCAAGACAGCAGTATACCAAGCAAAGCATGTGTGAGCCTACATCTGCTCTCAGGGAAAACATACGCTTTTGTCAAGGACCCTGCAAGAGCCACTTAGTCAAAAGCTATAAGAACTGAATTATTTTTGCTCCCTGTGATAAACAAGTAGCTCAAAAGTTAAGCAAAGGGACATATATTTCAGTCGGAAGAACCTTTTATGGCCATCTAAAGGACACAGACTCACACTATGGAGTTGCAAAAGTATGCCATGATAGCCTGCTCACTGACATCAGTAGGGACCATCTACACTGAACTTCTAAACTTCTCTGGAAGTTTTCCAAACTGCGTTACTGCTAGCGGCACACATCCAGTCTGAAGCCACAAAAGATGGACAAATGCAAGATAGTTCTCTCATTTTGGGAGACATCTTTCACTACAGACTTTCACATTCCTTTTTCACTTGTTTTCCTCACCTTCTAGTAACATGTACAAATTAGTAACTGTGCTTTTCTATTAATTATTTATTTTTGCTGGAGCCCTCAATGAAGCAATATAATAATCTTCATTGGAACATATCAAAAATTACAATGTTGAGTACAAAGGAAGCAATTAAAACTCTGATTAAAAAGCAGACAAATGGATAATTGAGGTAAAGTGGTCATATAGGACCATTCTTAGTCTAAAAAAAAATAGGTTCATAACACAGCCCCTCAGCTACAATTTGAATAAAACAACTCTAAAGGAAAAGTAGGCTGTGCTTTCCCTAACGTCTTTCCTTCCTTGGCATAGCCAATCCTGCTGATGTTCAGCTTCACTCAGCTGTTTTATATCCATAGGCTGGTTTTATCTAAACAGTGGTTTTAGTGGCAGCAAAAGAAGCAAAGTTATATTTCCACAACTTGCTCCTATCAGGCTCATTAAAAACAAGCTGCTGAAAAACAGGAGAATTTAAAAACTTGAGAACCAATTTCACCAAAAAACCCAAGATAAATATGGAACCACTTAAATGTAAGGATCTATCTTATGCACGGAAAAATGAAGATGGCTCTCAATATGTCAAGTTAGGAATGCTGATACATTTATATGAAAGGTAAATAACATTTCAATGAAAAGTAATCATATCTTTCACAAAATTCCTAAAATCTATTGAAGAATTTAACCTCCATTTTAGAGAAAAGATGGGAGAAAGTTCCAGTCAATATTTAAAGCTGTTATGCCACACTTTGTACATCAGCAATTTAAAAGTCAGCTTTGGCCTACAACCTGAGTTCTGCTATTCAACTGCAAGGGAAATATTTTACTACAAGGCAGATGAAGTACCGTGCATTCAGCACACAAACCCAGAGAAACATTTAACTGAATTAATAATCTTTATGAAAAGAGCATAAAAGTCGTACAGACCATGATACTTACTTTAAAAAGGCATCATTCACAGCCTCTAGAAACTCTGAACTGAGAATTTCTTTTGTTGCACCTCCTTGGTAAAGAAGGAGAGTTTCCAGCAATGGAGTTAGATCAGGCAAAGTAACGAGAGGGACACAGAAAAGGGACACAGCATTCTCACGACTGCCTGAAACCCTGAGGATAAAATAGATACAGTTCATATTTCAAAACAGTCAAAATTTTAACTTCTAAACTGATAAGGTAAAAGAAGATTAAATTAATTAACAGAAGGTTAAATGTAAGAGATACATACCTAACTCCAGAAAAATCATTTATTGGAATGACTGTTGACATGTTGTCACTTACTGCCTGAAGAATCTTAAGAAGTCAGATAAAATGTTGATATCTCGATAAGGACATAGGGTGTATCATCAGCAAGTTTGCAGATGATACCAAGTTAAGCAGGAGTGTTGACTCTCAGGAGGAAAGGGAAGCCCTACAGAGGGACCTAGATAGATTGGATCATTGGGCCAAGATCAACGGCATGAGTTTCAACAAGGGCAAGTGCCAGGTTCTGCACTTGGGCCACAACAACCCCATGCAGCGCTACAGGCTGGGGGAAGTGTGGCTGGAGCTGCCTGGAGGAAAGAGACCTGGGGGTTCTAGTTGACAAACGGCTGAATATGAGCCGGCGTGTGCCCAGGTGGCCAAGAAAGCCAGTGGCATTCTGGCTCGTATCAAAAATAGTGTGACCAGCAGAAGTAGGGAGGTGATTGTGCCCCTGTACTCGGCACTGGTGAGGCCACACCTCGAGTATTGTGTCCAGTTCTGGACACCTCAATACAAGAGAGATATCGAGATGCTGGAGCGAGTGCAGAGGAGGGCAACGAAGCTGGTGAGGGGGCTGGAAAACAAATCATATGAGGAACGGCTGAAGGAGCTGGGGCTGTTTAGTATGAGGAAGAGGAGGCTGAGGGGAGACCTCATCACTCTCTACAACTACGTGAAAGGACACTGTAGAGAGGTTGGTGCTGGTCTCTTCTCACAGGTAATTAACGACAGAACAAGAGGGAACAGCTTCAAGCTCCAACAGGGTAGGTTTAGATTGAACATTAGGAAGGAATTCTTCACAGAAAGAGTGGTCGGGCATTGGAACAGGCTGCCCAGGGAGGTGGTTGAGTCACCATCCCTGGATGTGTTTAAGGGACATTTAGATGCGGTACTGAGGGATATGGTGTAGGGGAGGACTTTGTAGAGTAGGGTAGATGGTTGGACTCGATGATCCCAAGGGTCTCTTCCAACCTCAATGATTCTATGATTCTATGGTTTTAAGGCAAACAATGATATCAACCTAATTCTGAAGTGCAGCCAGTTGTGTTTGCTCAGTAATCACACCTTTGCTAACAGGATCAGCAAAACACAGGTAAAGAAGACTACAGATTCACAGCTCCCACGTAGGTTTGCTAGATCCTCACGAAAGACCACGCACTGCTTTTAAGGCGTCCTGTTACTTCCTTGACTTCTCTCATCAGAAACAATTTCTATGAATGGAGAAACATGAATCCTGCCGGTTTTAAGTGCTCAGTTGAAAACTTTTTGTCCTACAGAACTACAGTTGAAGGACTATAGATGTTAATATATGAACCACTCACTTGACCTGCTGGCTAAAACTACATACTTGGAAGAGGCAGTGGAACCTGGAACGTAAACAAAACATGGAACCTTCGGAACAAAAACAAAAAGGAAAATGGCACACAACATAAGAGATGACATTTGCAAAAGGAACTCACAACTTTCTCAGAGTATTCATAGTTTCTAGCACATGAAACTGCAGATTTTTCTAGATGCAGTTTTGACAGGAAGACAAATATGAAGACCAAGAGCTCCAATATATTGAATTCTAACAAATTAAAAAGTGATAAGATTACTTGTAAAAGGCTTACTTGAGCTGCTGCAAGATTCACTGAATTTCACTGAATTTTTAGAGTTGGAAGGGACCATAGAGATCATCTAGTCCAACTCCCCTGACTGCTGACTCCAACTCCAACTTCCGCTGACTGCACTGTTCACTAAAAGGGCTGCAACTCTTTGTAAGACCCCAAAACTGTTTTTTGGAAAGCCATCAATATAGTCTATGAAGAGCTGAGACAAGAATCACCCTACAGGCTGCTCTAAGTAAAAGCTACCTCTATTGCACTGCATGTATTAAAGGTACTCCCAAATAGATCTTGCCTAATGGTCACTGGTATATGCTGTCACAGAAGTGCTATGGAGATGAGGTAGCATTATGGTTTCCACAATGAGAAATAAAACACAATACATTTTCAAAGACTCGAATTTCTGAGTAAGTACCTAACCAAATATGTGTTTAAGGTTTCTTAAACTCAAATATTTCAAGAGGCAGTTTTACTCTGAGAAGTGTTTCTCTAGAAATGGTAATTATTGGGCTGATATTTATTGTGCAGTAGTGTTTTCTGGGATACACACATAAAGTTCACAGACCTGAGACTCTTTAAATCACTGCCCTTTACAAAATTCTGTTTCTAATTTTTTATCCAGGATTAGCAAATTTTAGCAGTTTACTTTACTCCTACTTTTAACTTTGAAAGAAAAACCCTGCAAAGGCAATTTTATTCTTCTACACAATCTTCAAAATACATTCCTGGAGAATACCTCACAGTGCATTTCACTGTATACAATGAATTTGCACAGACACTCTCATCTGTGTTGCTGTAAGCACCACTGAATTGAGAAATGGGATACCTGCAAACTACATTTGTCTCTGCAACTTGAATAAAGACCCACATCATAATTTCTACACTCAAAAATCCACTTAAGTTCAAAGTTTTCATTTTCTCCTGATAGACATCAAATTTTTTCTCTTCCCAACAGCATTGCTAGCTTTCCAGCTAAGCCTGCTTCACCCAACTTTATAAAATGTAGGTGTTTGTTTTCTACATTGACCAAAATTTTGTGATGATCCTCATTAACTGCGTCAAGGATTTCAGTAGTAAATTCAGATCATTTGCTATTAAGATCATTTACTATTCTCGCAAGAAGGCAAGAAGGAAGGCAGAAGAACAGCCAAATTGGTGGCTCATGATACAAGGAAGATATTTCAATCAGCCTCCTCTTTCCTTTCACTTTACAGGCTATGTGGTGTTAAATAGGTCATAAAACTCTTTTCATCATGTCAGTAGCTTTGGCCCTGAAGACCAATAGAATATTCACAGGAGAGTCATACATTTAAAAGAAAAGATACAATTTTAAAATATCTATCCTTATTATAGATATTAAATGATAATTATTATAATTAATACAATATTAAATTAATAATATAAAATAGGTATTAAAAATACCTATCCTTACTTTTGCTTTTGTTTTTTAGCTGGAATACACTTAATACACTTAATTTACATGCAATCAAAAGGATCTACTGACATTCAAAGACAATAATATTGCCAAAAGACTATGATCTGCTCTGGGCCCCCCCAACCTAAGGATATGGACCTGTTGGAGTGAGTCTGGAGGAGGGCCACAAAGATGATCAGAGGGCTGGAGCACTTCTCCTAGGAAGACAGACTGACAAAGTTGGGGTTGTTCAGCCTGGAGAAGAGAAGGCTTTAAGGGGGAGACTGAAGGTGGCATATCAGTACTTATAGGGGGCTTGTAAGAAAAACAAAGACTTTTAACCAGGGGCTGTAGTGGCAGGGCAAGGGTCATTTTAAACTGAAAGAGGGCAGATTTAGATTGGAAGACAGACTGACAAAGTTGGGGTTGTTCAGCCTGGAGAAGAGAAGGCTTTAAGGGGGAGACTGAAGGTGGCATATCAGTACTTATAGGGGGCTTGTAAGAAAAACAAAGACTTTTAACCAGGGGCTGTAGTGGCAGGGCAAGGGTCATTTTAAACTGAAAGAGGGCAGATTTAGATTAGAAATAAGGAAGGAATTCCTTATAATGGGGGGGTGATGAGACACTGGAACAGGTTGTCTAGCAACATCACCGAACTGTAATGATGCAAACATGTAAATGATGTTTAGATAACACTTACCTCCCCTGCATGTTAAGTCCATTGACCTGATTTTCTCTGAGTTCTGTTACTAATGAAAAGACCATCTGTTAAATAAAATAAAAATAAAATAAAGTACATGTACTGCAAATAAGCAGTCATTAGTTGCATGGTTCTCCATGTGACTGACATACTGTGACTGACTCTGTTCACTCACTTTGATTTTTTTTTTAATTCTTAGTGCCAACTTAAAGCTGTCCAGATCACTGAATAAACTATGCTGCAAAATGTTTTTTAAACACACCATTATATGCCTTCCACATCTGAAAACTAAGCAGCTGTCAGGAGAGAATTATTAATAATTTTTATACACTTTATCTAAGGCAACATATTATGAAATGTCATTCCCATTATTTTTACGTATTAAATGTAAAATACATTTTTCCTAAGATTTAGGGCTTATCTACTATTTTAAATGCAGTGCATACAGTCAAAGAAAACATTCCAAAAGTTATGTTCTAATACACAAAATAATATATATAATTTAAACTTCACAGGGAAAAAAAAATTGATAGGGTAGATTTTTTTTGTTACAGCAACAGGAATTTTGTTTCATGAATATCTATTACAGTATAATCTAATAAATTTTTTTTGCTTTTGTCCAGAGATCTCCCACTTCATTTTTTCCCTTAAAAGGCTGTAAAAGTAACCGAGGTAAGAAAAGATAAACAAAGTTCAGTTCATGTTCCTTATAACAATGACAGCTCCATGTATGTGCTTATAAATTGGTGATTTATTATTAACAAAATCTCAGTTGCACAAAATACTTACATTTTTAACTAAGTGACAATAATAGTCTGCTGACGTGTAGCCAAGAGTTGATATGAATGCACTGGTTTCAGCTTCATTACTTTCCCACTTAGAAGAAGAAAGGAGATGGCACAGCAAACTCTGTGAGAAATCAACAGAAGGGCAATAAAAAAAAGTATTAGGCTACAACATCCTGTGTGAAAAGAGCTGACTGCTATTGAACTATATGCGGGGGTAAGATCTTTGGATCAGTTGTAGCCATTTTAGGCCATGTCATCAACACAGAGGAGCACACCATAAGGAAAACGCTTTACCTGCTATCAATCCCTCACAACCAAACATGGGTTCACATATCACATGAGTTCAGTAGTTGTGCAACAGCAATGGAGGCCACTTGTGTCAAAGCCATACAGAACTTAGGGTTTCAGTCCTCTGGGAGCCATTTCAGTCTGGCATCATCTGCACGGCAGTAATCATGTGGCCAAAAACTCAGGCAAAAACAGGCAAAAAACTCACCTGTAGTCTTGATTAGTATCATGATCAAGAATAGAAAGCATGAAGTTAATGTTTACTTTTCCGTATCACTCCTTCAAGAAGCCCCAATATTTTTGACGGAATTCAGGGCCTGGCCTCATAATTTCATTTGCCTAATTTGCTCACTATCTTAAAAAGATAATGATAAGATTTTAGTTTGACATTAACCTCTCTACCAATTTCACTGCGGAATGCTTTAAGTCACGTTTAATAATACCTTTTTAATACATCATATAAAAATGAATAGATTCAGGCCGAAGTCAAATTTCACTTCATAACACATTTCATACACTGATCCTGCAGGCACGCAGAGAGGACTCTGAACACAGCACTCTGGTTTCGTGCTTCACATTCTCCAGTGCTACACTACAGTCTTTTGCACAGACTTTACACCCCAGCACCTTCCCAACCCAACGCATTTGTGAAAACTCTTGTGTGAAATCTTGAGCACAGTTTTGCATCCTGCTGTCATACCTGAGCAGAAGTAGTTTTACCTTGCTTATCAAATCATCTGCTTTAAATTTGTTACAGCTTTCTTTTCTTCCTGTCTGCTATTGCTACATGCCGATATAATAGCCACATTCCCTTTCCAGCAGTTCATTTCAGGGCTTAATATATCACTGACACTTAAAGCATAAACTAAATTACATTCTGTGTGGCACTAAGTATAAAACCATTTGTAACACAGGGTCAGGATTAGCAAACACTGAAATAGACTTTAATTTTAAGAATATGTAATTAGAAGGAAAGTTCACATGAAAGCACTGTGACTTTCATGGTCTTTGGGGGTTTCATTCAATCTATTCTTTTTAAAAGACAGATATGATGAAAGATTCCAGACTGAAAAAATTAAAAATCAGTTAACTCATTTTCTGCTTTCAGAAATCCAAACCAAATATTTATGCACACTTTTGCTAAACATCTAAACAACTAATCTAAGCTACTGCTCCAGAAGTCCCAGAATTAGAAGTATTCCATGTATTCCACTGATGATTGATTTGAGCAAGAAGATACAAAATGCAGAAGCACACCAGACATCAAAGAAAATTCATTACTATCAAAGTAAGCAACAAGTATTGGGGACACCTTATTTATTGTACTCTTGTTTAGGACTATTTTACTTGCTTGTGGACATGTTAAGTGCCGAAATAACCTTTTCTTTTATTGTAGAACCGGTTTCCTAAATAGCCCTCAACAGGCGAATCTGCTGTTTTACCGCCATCTAGTGACTTCCCTAAAACTAAGGAGAAAGGAAAATGCTGTGTCAACACAGTTTCAAGGAATTAATTTACATGCGACTTTTGCCTTTTTAGGAAAAACAAATAAAAAAGTGGATTTTCAAAACGTACAAGCATCTAAATACAAGCATCTTAATCAATTACTAATATGGAACCATATATATTTGTATCGTCCTTTGCAACCATTGCTAAAGTTAAAATTGGTTTTCAGAACGCTATCAGGAGTTCAGAAAAGTAGTTGCTACAAAATGGGAGGGTTTGCCAAGTAGAATGAGATAAAGGATCAGGCTGCAAGTTGAAAACAAAATAAAGGAGGAGTTAGCTACAACAAACTTGGGATGCCACTTTTGCCAGAGGTAAGGAGGGGGGCTTCAAAAGTACAAAATTTCTTGGATTGTTTTGTGAAAGACTTGCAAAAAGCTTCACCAGTGAGAAGAACAAACACAAAAAGGTCTGAACAAGATTTGACAGGTTGACATGGCAGCTAATGACAGCTAAATGAGGGAGTAGCTGAAACCCCCATGTATGCAGGTGTAACACTACAAAATATTATCTAGTGACCCTCTCTGTAACCAGAATTTTCCTAAGCATAAAACTAATTAAACACTCTTTATGTGAAGAGTAATTTCAAAATTACTTTCCCCCTATCCTCGTGTAACTGTCATTGGTACCCAACCAATAGAGGAAAAGACAAGACAAAATTACTACACATCATCAGAGTCTGGATGCAACCTGCAACCCTTTCCTGAGTTTTTTTGTTTAGTTGCCTGGTTGGTTGGGGTTTTTTGTTTGTTTTTCCTTTTCTAAACACTCTACTACATCCATTCTAGGATTTTACAGATCAACTCGGTTATTTTTTTGGAATACACAAAACAGCCAGAAGGGGGCAAGGGAAACAGGGGTAAGGAGACACTGTAGTCAACATGAAAGGAGGTATTAGGTATGCATAAAAGAAAGGTATGTGTTACAAGTGAAAAACATTTAGAATTCAGCTCTATGTCTTACATATTTCATTTTACAAATGCTATTGCCAATGCAAAGCCTGTGACATACCTACATGCAACAAAGACAAGGAATCTGGTAACAAAATTTTAAAGTATTTGTCTTTTAAGGTTTAGATGCTTTCTTTCGTCCAAAACATGTTCAGAAAGTTCTCCTTCTCTCTAGAAAATGTCGCTCACTTCCTGCATGGAATTCTGGTTGAAAGTGATAATATTGCATTAGCAGGGAGCTGTCTAGAATTAAAATAAATATTGACAATTCACACATTTGAAAAATGGACTGTTAGATGGCTAAGAAATTGGCTAGATGGCTATGTCCAAAACGTTACAGTCAACAGCACGGTGTCCAAGTGTGATCATACTGCAGAACTCGGTTAGAACCAGCTCCAAGGCCAAGTGAAAAATAATGCTTTCTTATATGCAAGTTTCTCCTTTTGCTTTTGAATTCAACTCTTTCAGAAAATACTTTAGAGAAATCTAGAAGGTTTCAGAAGATTTTCTCACAGACGATCTTATATAAAGCCATAGAAATATTCAAAACTAGTAATAGGTTCCATCATTGCCTATGAAGTCCCCCCGAAGCATTCTGGAAAAGAAAAAAATAGAACATTTTATATAGCCACAGTGTAGATTCCTGCAGTCTGAGAGATCCGTAATTTGAGACTAATGACTTTTAAGAAATCATTTAAAACCCAATAGAAGATATTCAAGAACATGATGGAAAAGCTTTCAATACTAAATTCACTCCTGTATTGATGATGAATCCTAGTCATGAATCCTAGCCTACTCCAGCAAAGCATGATGACTTGTCATGTACATAATCGTCAGTTATTTCTATCAGTAAATCAATTAACACTGTCTAATCCATTAATGCCATATTCTACAAGCCAGAAAAATGGTGGCAATTCGTGGCAGAAGTGCTGCATTCAGTAAAAATAACAAGGTGTCATGATTCTGGAAAACGAACAGCAGTCAGACATACTATGATATTAGAAATCATTTCTTTCTTGATTTCTCTCACCATTGATTAAGTAGGAAGCAGGGAGGAAAGCACCTTGGTTCTAGTTGCAAGAGAATACACTCATCCCCATGGCCTTGTTTTAAAGTTCTGTGACATAACCTCTTTCAGCCTGAAATGGAATTAATAAATTTTCATAAAGCCCTCAAAATGACCAACTTCATTGAACAATCTTATCTGTGGCTATATTTTATTGATGCAATTTATACTGAGTAACATTGTTAGCTAACTCAACATCCACTTTGCACCAAGGTGTCTAATATCTTTAATAGGCAGATAATCCTAGGAGCATTTGCCTGAAGACATGAAACCATTTACTTTGTCAGTGTAAATACAATGCCCCATATCTACCAGGTTTTGAAGTGAAGGAGGCCCAATTTAACATTTACTTCTCTAATTTACAGATCGGCTATAAGGCTGTCCCTTATTAATTCACTCAGGGAAAGTGGGGGGAATGAGAATAGACTTGAAGCTGAAGACCTCGGAGAATACAAATGGAGAAAACAAGTCACTGTATTCCCTGGTTACTGTACACCTGTATCTAAAGAGGATCGAGAAACGTAAAAACATTTCTGACACATGACTTCAATTAAGCTAAGCCAAGTCTTTCAATACTCCTCTTTAAATAACAAAGGCTGACTTCCATGTACTACAGGGAATTTGTTACTCCATGGAGTTTGTTTCTCAGAGACAACCATCTCTTGGGGCGCATGCGTCTGTGAAAGCCTGGAAATTATTTTCCTGGAGTAGGAAGGGCAGGAGGTGTCCTGCTCCTCCACGAAGACAAGCAGCACAGCACCAGGCAGATACCAACTCGGCTTGTGTCCGTAACTCCACCAAGGGGGAGGAGGTGCTTCAGTCTCCTGATACTGCCTTTGCTATGCTGGGATCCAAAAGCTCTGAAGCCTTTTTTCACATCTTTCTGTAATAGGAAGAATTTTCCTGCTTATGTCAATGGGAAAAAATACAGAAGCCTGAATTAAAGGCACAATTACCTCTGAAATTAGACATCAACACAGAAATAGCACTTGATTTTTATTACAGGACCACGTGATAAGTTTTATGCTAGTAACTGTATTTGTGTAGCAACTGTCCTGGAATTTACGACAGTTTCAAAGACATTCCAGGGGAACCAGATAAACCAATTTGTTTCTGGAAACTTCTCAGTGCCCCGTATTTATGATTCTGAATGTCCTCAGAAGCAGATGTGAAAATCAACAGGGGCAATATATTTTGGAGAGAGGAGATGGATGGTTTCATTGGGATGAGCCATTCAAACCTGATACTGATTAGGACTTCCCAGTGACATTACTGGGCTCTTATTGCCAACTTGGATGAGTTGGTCAAAGC